CCGTGTTGATTGAAGATCTCAACCGGAGGGGTCCATTCCAAACACTTTCAAACTCCACCCAAAATATCTATAAAAATAAAAAAAATCCAAAATTCCACAAAAATTCCAAAATCCCGAAAATATTTAAAATGAAATAAATCCATCAACGCACTTAAAGCAAAATCCATCCACCCTCCGCAACGTCTGCCGAGGTGGACAAATTCAAATAACTCTAGCTCACAAAGAGCCCAATGGCTAGTCGAAAATATCACTATATCCATTCTCAAACAATCTCTTGCCAGTAAGGAGTGGTACGCGTCCTTAACCGGAGTTTCGCCGCCAAATGGCATTGCAGGTAAACGGTTATGAACCCGGGGCCTTTGAACCGAGTAATTTGCTCCAAATGGCACCACAGATAGCGGTTATGGCCAGAGCCAATACGCTCCTTAGTGGCGTTAAATCCTTGAGATATGAATCAATAGGATATGATCGATAGGGCACAAAGCCCTCTGTTAGCTAAGGTGGATTCAAATTTGTCCCATTAGACAAACATCCAACCCAGTCTACAAGGTCCCCTGGACGAAGCAACCATGGCTGCCGACAAGGATCCTTCTGTCAGGTTGGGTAGACTACCTCTCTGACTAATAGACCAGGGACCACGATGGCCCGGACGACGGAACCATGGGATCTTGATCGGGTCTATCATCCATTCCCCACCATCGCCTTTAAGTGCAGATGGTGAAATTTCAATCTTAAATATCAAACCCTCCAAATTTCCCAATATCCAAACCCGTCAAATTTTCCAAACTTCCAATCCAAACCTATTGCTGCTACTATATGCCAGATAACACGTATTCTCTACGTATCTGATTGACGACTAGCCTTAATCGAAATTCTCTCTCGTTACGGAGGGGTAATTAACTATAGGGCTTGCGCTTATAGGGAACCAGAACTCAGATCATAAAGTCCTCACAAAATGAGGGCGAAATCTCTGGTATGTTCTTATCTACAAACCCATTTGCCTTCCAAATTTACCCGGAACTTATTCAGTGTAAAACTCCCCTGGCGCCACCTCGCCGAAAGAAAAGCGCGAGCGGAGGCCGGGGCCAAATTTTCGGAGCCCACACACTTCCTTTAGGGTTCTTCATGGGAGAGATTCACCTCACTTGATTCATTATGAGCAGAGCACTACACCAATATCCTATGTAAAGCAATACTTAGAAGGGATAGATAAGATATTATCTGAGTTTAAGGGACATTTGTTGAAAGCCAACATATCATGAAAAGGAAGGCTGTTGAGCACAGAAGAGAAGTAAATTTTGAGCCATGAGAGATGGTTTACTTAAAATTAAGGCCATACAGATAAAAAACACTAGCAAGGAGGAAGAATGAAAAATTATCCCCGCGATACTTTGGGCCTTATGAGGTCTAGAAGCGCATTGGAGCATTAGCCTATACCAACCACATTAACGTTACACCCAGTCTTTCATGTCTCCCAATTGAGGAGTGCAATCAAAGAACGCACATCATCACCTCTTCCACTAACATTGATAGCGTATATGGGGGTCATACTGGAATCCCTAGAGGTAGTGGGTGTGCGTGGTGGAGGTGTAAAAGCACAAGAGGTGTTAATCAAGTGAAAGGATTTGCCAGAGCACGACGTCACATGGGAACCATTCGAGACAATCAGGAGGCAGTTCCCAACCTTTCACTTTGAGGAGAAGGTGGTACTTTCCCCGGGGGGGGGTATTGATATGGAGGCAGAGGAAGTAACCCCGACAATTGATTTGATGGGGTCCAACAAGGATTTAATTACTTATGTTAGGATGGGATTAATTAGGAAAGGAATTTCCTAATTTAAATTGAAATAAGAGAGGAATTTCCTAATTTAAATTGAAATAAGAGAGGGAATTAATTAAGATAGGAAGGCTGAATTAGGAGGGAAATATATTAGGAAAGGGAGCTAAGGAGGTGGGAATTAGGAGGGAAATATATTAGGAAAGGGGCTAAGGAGGCGGGAGAGCTTATTTAAGGGGAAGTTTAGCCGTTTAGGTTATTTTGTTTTATGTAGAATTTGAGTTGTGTTGCTGCATTTTTTATTTGTGAGGGCTTCCTAGCGGTGTCTAGGTTTAGCAGAAAAGATGATCTGCATCTCTAATTGTAGATCGATTGTATCTTTTGTTTTTTGTTGTGTTATTCATAAAAATCAGCCGCTGCCCCGGCCCCCCTAAATCTGTTGTTTTTGGCTTGTTTTCTATGGATTTTCTGCAGTGGTTTGCTATTTGTTGTATCCAAGGCTTATCAGTTTCCAGGTTTTTTATATCTAAATAATCAGCATATACTTGACCTATTCATAAATTCTATTTCTATTACAGTAGAAAATTATTAGTATGAGCATGACAATGCAGTTGCAATTAAATAGTTCTTTGTTGTAATAGTTGGTGTCAATTAATCTAGGTTTTGGTGATTTACGACGATAATTTTTTCGCAGTTGGAGTGGTTTTTTAATGCTTTTATTGCAAGGAAAAGTGACCAAAAAAATAAAATATGTTTTTGATTGAAAAAACTTGTTAGTCTTTTTTTTTTCTAGAATTTATTTTAGAAAGTCCCGACTCATAGAAAATTTCTATTCTAGATTAAATTATTAGGAGAAAGTTGATTAAAATAAATCTAAGCTACCTCAAGAAAAATTACCTCTTAATTTTTATCTCTTTAGAGGAGTCTCGTAGGAAATGGGTTGATTTTTCTTGATCGGTTAGTGGCACTAGTTGGGGGATAAGGGGACTCGAGAAATGTATATTTGTGTTTTTTTTTTGGTCTAAAAGTCTGCAGTGGCTTGAATTTATCAGCATGTATACGGCTCTTATACTAAATTGATGGACACCTCTATGATGAGGATCTCCTTTGTTATTTTCTTCTCTCAAATTGCCTTTCAAATTGCCCGTTTCATTGAAGTCAACCTCTAATTGAGAAAGGATTGTATTAGGTTTATAGATAGATGATTCTGAGAGATGTTGAGAGGAGTCTTGATTTAGAGAATCTCTAGAAGAGGGATCAACGACATTAGAATATGTGGAGATAGGCTTTCAGGAATTGGGATTTTTGCAAGGATGGAGAGAGATTGAACATTGGAGTGGAAAGAGAATGGTGGAGAGAAAGTAGGAATTACTTTGAGTCTTTGACTTTTAATTCATTTATAGGAAACAATAATGACAAGCATTTTTTTTTTAATAATGACAAGCATTACCGACTCCACGTGGTGGGATAAAAGGCTTTGATGTTGTTGTTGTTGTAATGACAAGCATTGAAATCCCTATGTACATTATAAATTAATTTAAATTTTAATTAAGACAAATCTTATTATCTAATTTGAAAAGAAGATAATTCTAAACATTAGAGTAATTCCTGTTAAATAAATAAAATTTAGTCCTGATAACAAAATTAAATTAGATACGAACTACTGATTGTCATAATTTGAATGCATTCTCACTGTAATTTGTTATGAAGGTCTTGAACTTTATCACATTTTCTAAAGCATTGTGCCATTTGTATAGGTCAACTTGGTAGCAAAATTCATAACATCGAAAAACTAGCTTTTAATGTTTCACTTGCTTTTTTTGGTCATAGGTACATTTGGCTTTAATCATTGTCTAACATTTTCGTATTTCTCCAAATATTTTCAGCAAGTTCGGGGACATCTTTGATGAAGATCACTTCATCAGAACTCTAAGCGATCATGTTAGAGTGGTCAGTGAACTTCCAGAGGAGATGCTGCAACGCTTTGACAATAATATAAGTAGCATAGTTAACATGAGAACAAAGGCTTTATCATCAAAAACGTATTACTTGCAGAAGGTTCTTCCCAGGTTGTTAGAGTTGGGGTATGTCCTAGACCTCTCTGAAGTCGATTGTTGTTTGAAATGCATCATTGATTTCCATATTTTGCAATACTTTAGAGCAAAGGGCAAGCTCCGTGTATATATGTTGCATGTATGATATTAGTAGGTTGGACATGATAATCTATTGAAGCAAAAAATCGCTGCAGAACAGGCTATGCATGCTACACTAAGCATTGCTTTGACTGTTTCATGCAAAAGATGTTTTAATTATGGGATTTATAAAATTACAAGAAGGCTAGTAAAATAATCGTTGGCATCTATGTTGAGTGTGATAAAACTTTAAATACTAAGATGGATGTGCAGCAAAATTGGGAAGGATAAATTAAAATGTAGGAAAGCACGTTTCGGTCTACAGTTCCCAAGATATCTTCTCATTTGCATCATTAACCCTAGCCTCTAGTCTACAATGCTTGAATAATGGTCAAATTGCATCCTGAATCACAGCATTATAGTGCCCGGGGAACATTATCTTACCATTCATGCGTTATTGCGTTTGAGTCAAATTTCAAGTATCTGTGTAGTTTAAAAGAAAAAAAAGGTATCTGCGTAGTTTTTACTAGCCTTCATGTGAGTCAAAAGGTAATCCAAATTTAATTAGAAAGGTTCAAATGTGTCTACAGACAAATCAATGATGATAATTAAGAGGAACAAAACCTATTTTTCTATAGATTCTTCACAAAAAAATACACAATGTCACGGGAATAGCACAAACAAGGTGAATGTGAAAATATTAGATTATTTCGTGTTTCTTGCTTTGATTTGCTTATTCTTGAGAATCTACTGGAAGAATTTGGTTTTCAAAATCTCGGATCAAGTTTTGATGGTTTAGATTGTGTTTGTTTATACTCTACAAGCTCGATTAGACTAGAAAAAACTGACATATATTTGATCCGACGACTTTGAGGTTTGTCCGAAAACAGAGACGTGCAATTATTGAATATGGTTTGCTTAATCTTGTTAGAGATCAATTTGATTATCATCATATCCTTGATTTGATGGCTTGGATGGAGTCATACAAGAGGCACATATCCTATTTTTGTTATTCCTCTACCTGTCATTCAAGCATGAGGCTATTGACATGTGTATCTTTTAAAATGATGGGCAAAGAAGGTGAGACCGTGCTATGAGTTTTTCATATATTTAATTTTTTTTTATTTGGGGGAATTTTAAATTCATCAAAAAGAGGCATTCTAGGATTCATATTCATCACACCATTGCTTTATATCAAAATCAAAACTTCAGCAATTTTTTACCTAACATTCTTGATACTTGTAACTAATCATGTTATCCTAGATCCACTTGGTTCATTTGGGCTTGATTGGGTTCGATAGGTTGAGCAAGGAGTTGAATCAATTTTATTGGGAATAATTGAGGTGATATTAAGTTTGGCAAACTTAGTTATGTCTATTGGGATTAACCAAATTGACTGGGATAGGGTTAGTCAATCAGGGCCTGATAAAACTTTATAGAGTTAACCATGACCGAGCTAAGCTTGTTGTTTCTACTTCAGATTGATATGTTGATTCATCAAAGGTTGTTCTATGCTCATGGGGATTCTAAGAGTCATGCATAGGTGCGCACCTAGTCTTTCCTGATTTTAGTGTTGTGGTTAAATTATTGCAGAAACTTATGAGTCTTAGTATAAATTGAGCAAGCTATAGTTGTTGAACCCTTTAGTGGCTACATACTACTACCTTTGAATTACTATCAACAATACTAACACCTTTGGGGCCTTTTTTATTTAGTTGTTGCACCCTTTAGCTCAAGCTTATTTAATATATGAGCTCAAGTATAGGCTTGAGTATAAACTCATGACTCGATGAGCTCAATTTATGAGCTCGTTAATGAGTCGAGTTTGATCCAGTTTGTGAGTCAGCTTAGCTCACTTATACCCTAACCGCCACCTTTAGCTCAATGACATCCTTAATCGGGGAGTATTCTATGACATTAAACCCAAGATGTAATTAATCATGAGGTTTTGTTCCTATGGTAAGCTTCAATCCCTTAGATCTAAAATAAAATTTAGTTAGTGTAACACTCTAGGATCTATATTAGAAGAATTAGATTTGTGTTTTATTTTAACCATTTAATCGGAGCTTATTAATGAACAACGAAAAGAAAAATGATTGTATTTTGTCTAAAAGTGTAGGTAGAAAAATTATGCATGTTGTCCAGAGCCTCATATCATAGGATCCTTACCATTTTCTTGAAAACATCTTAAATCACGTAATGAGCATATAGCCTAGTAACTAGTAAGTAACTACACAACTCCCCTTGGCCTATTGGTTGAGAGCTTAGGCTTCCAACTAAGAGGTCCAAGGTTCGAGTCCATGTGTATGCGTTGTGTGTGTGAGTTTGCCTTAAATGGCCTAAATGTCCCAAAAAAAAAAACTAGTAAGTAACTTAAATCTTACAATGGAAATCAATGCAAGATAAAAAAGAACAACATGCTATAAATTATATAAATAAATATATACGTCAAGGTCTATATTAATTATTTGTAACAATTTATCCATCTATAGTTCATCACATCTCAATTCATTACATCATCAATCACAATATCAGTAGCAGTCAACAATACTAATGTCAGTAACAATATTAATATCATGATTAATATTTTTAAATAGTATTAATGACAGTAAATAGTATTAGTGTCAGTGTTCATAGCAATATTGACATTAGTATTCATATATTCAAAGATTATATCTTAAGGGTATTTTGCTTATGCTCTTCTTACTCCCAATCAGTTGCCCCATTTAACTCTAAATTAATGTACTCCTTATAACTCCCCTTGAATCACGTGAATCAGTCGTCCTTACTCTTTATAACTACTAATAAATCTCAAGCTCCTTATGCCTTCCAATTAGTGAATCACGTGTATCAGTAGGGTACCAAGTGGACTTATCATATTATTTATCTGATATCATTCAACACTTCATTTAAAATGCAATAAAATTATATCAAATCGTTCATAATGATCAAATTTATAATATATCCAAACTTGCTCGGTGAAAGCTTATGAAATAATGAGATAATGCATTTTTTGACAGATTTAAGAGAATTAAAATTCGTAGAAATCAAAATAATTAAAAACAAAAATAAGATATTAGTCAGTTACAACGAATATAATAAAATTTGTAATAAAAATGACTGACAAATATGATCCAAACATCTTTCTCTCTCCTCTCTCTTCTTTCTCTCTTTCAATTTCTTACTGACCAAGTAACTAAATGAGGGAGTCGGTGGGGTGAGATAGGGATATATATACTGTTCATGGCCTAGAGCTGGAGCGCTCACCAGACCAGCGCCAAAGCACTCTATTTTAGAATTTTTATGTTTTTCAAATAAATTTATTTCACATATTTGAGTTATTACAATTAGCTCACCTTCCTTTTAGGTAAAATCTCTAGGATCTTATCCCGACCTATATGTGCAACTCCGGACCACCTGCATCATTTCTTTAACTTCAAAAATGTGAAATGAGTATCACCCTGAACTCTTTTAGAGCCCATATTGTGAAAAGTTCTTTATTAATAAATTCCCTGGATTGCAATTATGCTCATCTACAGTATTTTAGTTTTCCTTTTTTTTTTTTTTTTGAAATACCAATTTTCTGAAAATGATCGCTCACTTTAAGCTTTTTGAAGTTTGATTGTTTCTTACAGGATACTGTGCTATTCTCATCAGCGTCTTTTTAGTTTTGTCATTCCTTGTTTTAGGTCAAGTGTTATTTCAAAATTTTTTATATTTCCTTATGAATTCTATATATCCCTCATATTTTTGTTTTTCAGGGCTGTTCGTATTGCACCTTTCTCAAATCGATTGGCTCAATCTGTTCCATCCAACATACAGGCTTTGAGATGTCTATCAAATTTTGAGGCATTACGGTTTTCTGAACCAATACGACTACTTGCAGAAAATATGGTTCAGCGTATGGTGAAAAATAGTTCAGCAAGTGGTGGAAAGTATATCTCTGTTCATCTTCGATTTGAGGAGGTATTTCCTCTCATAAAAGTATAGGTTTTAGTTTTTTTTTTTCCTTTTGCATATAATATATATAGAAATACTTAAATTATTTTTGTTCTATTACAGGATATGGTAGCATTCTCATGTTGTACTTACGATGGTGGTCAAAAAGAGAGGAAAGAAATGGATAAAGCTCGTGAAAAAAGTTGGAGGGGAAAATTTAATAGACCAGGAAGGAAAATCAACCCAGAGAAGAATCGAAGGGAGGGAAAATGCCCACTGACTCCATTAGAGGTGTGAAACAATCCATTTTCTTTTTTTAGTCTATATCTAAATTTAGAAGAATCTTAAAATAGTCCTGGGACTAATCGCATGCGACCAATTTAGTCACAGAGTATCAAGTTGCTCCAGTTCAGTTGCTTGACCATGCAAATTGATCCAAGATGATATCTTATGTTATAATTTTAATATAAAATTGATTTCAACCTAGTCGATAATGCACAATTGATCATAGTTTAGTCTTAGATCTTGTATATTAGAGAGGCTAAATTGGCCATCTAAGAATAGTTGGAGATTATTTAAATTAGGAGAAATTATTTTGTGTGGATTTTGGGCGTAGAGTTACGTTTGGACTCCGCACGTCTACGTCCGGACTCCGCACGTAATAATTTCTGCTAAATTAGACAATGTTACATCACTCATTACCCATAATTAAATGTGTGATCTGAGAATTATGGAGCTTAAGCTGTGTTTTTTATTCTCATATTTCAACTTTTGCCTCTTTTGTCATAACCTCACATTTTGGCAGTCACGTATCAGCATCCATCGCTTGTTTTTGTAAACCACCCAATTTCTTCTGATTTTCTATTGCTATGTTTTTGAGATCGTACAAGCACATTTTCCTCCTAACGTTTACTCTTCTTCATTTGTTGTGATCTGTTGAAGATTTTCAGCGTTGAAGCATCCATTACAACTTAGACTATATTAATTTTTTAAGCCAAATGGTGCACACTATTTTGTCTAGGGATGGTGTTCTTTCTCATTACAATTCGTCACACCTAGGACTTCTAGAATTTAGGGTTTCTTACGATTATTTGTTCAAAGTTGTGCTTGCTGAGGTATTATTATTCATGTCTGGCATTAAGCTATAGATGTGATGCCTGCTTAGAATGTGGGGTTCTGGGTGATGCTTTTTTTTAAAGTTTTGCTACCTTAAATATTATTTGGAATAGAATAAGTGAGTTTGTTGTTTTTATATTAATTGTGACTAATCTTGATGTGGGAACATTTTAGCCTATCTTATGCTTAGGGACTAGTTTATCTCCTTTAGTCTAGAGTCTTCTATTTGCTCCCTTAAATAGGTATAATGTATGGTTTTTGAGGCATTGAATGATATAAACTCTTTTGAAGCTTTGAGAAAGCTTTCTTCTTCTTCCCTGGATTGGGAAATTCCTTGAAATCTTTCTTGCAGGTCGGTCTTCCGACGATCCACTACATCAAATCTTTTCTAAGGTTGAGTGTTTCCTAGATTGCATCAACGAACCTTAGAATCAAACCGTTCTTCATTACCTGGAGTTAGCCTAAATTGGTGCACTCTTTTGGTCCGCTTATGTTGTTTTTGGCTAGCTGGTTAACCAAACTCAAATTGCCTGAAAGAATCTCCAAGTCTAAGATCAATGTTTTTTTTAATAATTTTTTAAAAACCACAAAATAATCTTCAAACAGGCGTGATTGCTTCCATCTTAGGGAAGTTTGGGAGTTTTGTATTTAGATTGTAGGAATAATTATCGAGGATTATGAAATGTTACATATTGGATTAGTTCTTTTTTATGAGTTGCCAAGTACTACGGCATTCTCCTTCCCTCGGAACACTAATTGAATGGTTTTGCAGGTTGGAATGATGCTTCGAGGCATGGGATTTGATAACATGACCTCCATCTATGTTGCTTCTGGTATAATCTACAGTTCTGAAAAGTATATGACACCGCTTCGTCAGTTATTTCCACTTTTGGAGACTAAGGATACACTTGCTTCATCTGAAGAGCTTATCCCCTTTCAGGTTCATGTTTGTCCTTTGCAGATCCAAGTCTTTTTCAGATTTTAATAGAAACATGACCACATGAGCTTTATTTATATTAATATTCCAGTTTTTATTTGGCTGTCAGTCTAGATGATTGTTCCTCAGTAACATAGGTAGTTTCATGCTCAATGCAGGGTCACTCATCACGATTGGCTGCACTAGACTACACTGTCTGTGCTCATAGTGAAGTATTTCTTACTACTCAAGGTGGCAACTTTCCCCACTTCTTGATTGGAGACCGACGGTTTCTTTATGGAGGTCATTCGAAGACTATCAAACCTGACAAGAGGCGATTAGTGTTGTCTTTGGACAACCCCAATATCAGGTCATTTTACATCAAAATTTTATTTTTTAACTTTTTGTTGGCATTGCATATCCATCCTTTTCTTTGATTGTTCACATGAAATTTGAGGTCTTAGAGAAACAGATATGAGCAAGGCTAGATTAGGCCCCTAAGCTGCAGAATTACTGCAATTTTGTTTATAGAGGAGAATAAATCTACCATGTGCTTTGCTTTAGCCTCGTCATGCGTTGCTCAATGCGGGGAATGCTATAGAAAGTAGCCGATACAATTTAGTTCAAAAAAAGAAAAAGCTAGCTGCAACATCATAGGAGTTGCAACAGGGTAATAGAAAATTACACGAGTGATAAGCGATAACCCTGCTAGAGCGCCTTTGCAGTGCCTGCTACATCATGCAGGCAAGCAAATAAAGTCACGGCAATGAACATTAGCTGAATAAGTTATTCCCAAAGTTTCTGCTTTGATTACTTTTCTATTGCTATGGACACCATCTTAGGATGGCAGAAATTGGCGCTATGCCTGCTCTTCTTCAGTCTCTCATGGAAGAAGTTAACCTGATTGATTGCTTCATCTTTCTTCACTGAAGGCAGTTGTTACTGTCATTTGTCTCAAGGCATTAAATGCTCCCATGGCAAAATATCAATCACTATTTATGTTATCCAGTAACCAATTTACCCGCTGCTGTTTGAAGATCTTAGATCAATTCTTCTTGTTGCTTTTTTTGCTAGATGATTTGCATCTCAATTAACGAACAGGTCACTTAATGGTTCTATTTCATGAATTTGTTATCTGAAACTTATGTTCAATAATATGCCATCTCCTTTAAATCTAAAACTTGGAAACTGATACAAAGTGTAATTTGAGGAGTAAGTCTTGGAAAAACAAAGGATTCAGCTTAGTTACTTAATTTGCAGATTAAAATATCAATTTTGGATTAAATTAGAGTTGTTAGCATTATCACATTTTGGTTAGACTGGTGCCTCATGGCAGTTGTACTATTTACTGCATAAATAGGCAACAGGAATGCCCCAGATGATGATGCTTCTTTATACGCTGCGGTGCGCATGATGATGATGAAAGATTGAAAGTATAATTAAGGAAGAATAAATGCATATTATTAAAAAATATATACTCATCTAATATACTGATATTATTTCCTAATAAACATCATAAGCTAACATTGATTTTACCTCCAATTGTTCTGAAATAGTTTCAAAACCTTGCATGAAAGTAGCTTTGAACCTTGCAGCAATTTATTAATGATGCTTTCAATCTGGAAAATCATTTGATTTTGCCTATGGTAAGCTGGAATCTTACTTTTTCTTGCTTATGATTTTCTAAATTTCAGTTGGGATAAGTTCAAGCGCAATATGCTGGAAATTCTCCATCATAGCGATATGAAAGGTGTTGAGTTGCGGAAACCCAATGCGTCATTGTACATGTTTCCAATGCCCGACTGTATGTGTCCACACTCATAATCAAAGTCTCTTTATGACAGTGGGATTTGACAATGTGCTTGTAAGTACTCTCCACGACTCCACTTAGGAATTTTTTGAAATTCTTTGTATTCTTGTGTAGTCTAGTTAAAATTTTCACGATTTAGTTGTCAATATATTTAATTGTTTTAGGTTTCGTAAAATCTTACTATTAGAGTCCATTCTACATGTATCAAGAACAACCCGATCGATTTACTGTAACATTTGTTATTAATTACGACGCTATGTTCTGTAAGAATCACATTTTATGCTGAATGGAGAAGTTCAATGTTCATATTGCTTTAATTGGTGTATTCAAGTTAATAAACCAGGATTAAGTTGATGAGTACCACATTATCTTTTTCATTGTGTTAAAACTTCTCTTACTAATCATGTTAACATTTTTTTGTATCGCAATAACTGAGCTGTGCGGGTGTTTGATATATGGAATTAGAGTTGTAAATGAGTGGAGTTGATATTTTGCTGTTCAGTGTTCTCTTAGCTCAAACTTGAACTCGAGCTCTGGTTGAGTTTTCATGTAAAGCTTGAGCTTGATGAGTAACTTATGAGCTTCACATTGCATTCAGATTTTTTAAGTTTATTTTAAAAAGATCAATAGATATGTGATTTGAGCTCAGCTCATGGGCTCTTTAAGTTTGACTCATGAGGCTATTCGGTTGTCGGCTGTCTTGCGAACCTGCTTAGCCCATTTACACCCATATCCACTGACATATTTGAGTTTTCCTCATTTTGTATCTTTGTACTTGCAGTTCTCTGGTTATGGAGTCCGTGTTCTAAGTTGGTGCGGGCAATACTTTTATATTTGTATTTATTTTAAAGAATTAATTTGTTTTTTTAAGTGCAGTAGAGAATTTCTTATGCGTTCTCATATTTGAAAATTAGTGAGCTGCTGTGAGAATTATATACTACAAATTTCTTGAACTTGAATTTTTTGTATCAAGGTTTATTCTTGTTGTAGAAGTTCCTTGATATAGTCTTTGAATTGCCTTATTTTTTTAAAAAAAGAAAGACTAGTGAACTTTGTTGCATGTCAAAAAGTTTGTGGCAGTGCAGGGAGGGTTTGTTGTCTTAGAATTTGCACGAAGATTCAATACATACAAATAAGAGAAGAATTGGAAGACACACTAGATTTTTTACTTTGAGAACTCATGAAAAGAGACAAACCATAGAGCCTAACTTAATTGGAATCATGGTTTTAAATTGCGCAATAAGAGGTGTGCCTCGGCGCAATTTTGTTTTTTTAAGCCTCAAAGCCTACTTAAGCAGAGCTGGGATTGAGGCATATGCCTCAAGTTCACTGAGGCGTGCCTCGCCTCATATTTTAGAGGCGTCCGCCTCTTAAAATTGAAAAAAAAACTAACCTAATATATATCTATTCGCTTCCCCCTCCCCGCGCGTCTTCGATCATTTTCGAACTGAAACGATGTTTCTTCTCCCTTCTTCTTCTAGCGACATTTTCCCCTCTTCCTTCCATTCGACTGGCGTCGGCTTCCTTCCACCGAGAGTTGCTTTTCGCCTCTTGCTTGGAGTTCTCTTCTACCGCGAGTTGGGCTAGAGTCTCCTTTGATCGACTGTTGAAAGGTCTTATTCTTCGTGGTTGGAATTTAGGGTTTATTGACAAAGGTGAAATAGCTTTACTTCCTCTTCTTCTTTGCACTCAAATGTGATTTTTTATTATACCATCGCATTTATCGACATCTTCTTTTGATTTTCATTCATTTTTGGCGAAATTTTTTTCCTTTTAAATTTTATGCAATATTGCTTTGTTTTAGACATACAATTTTCAATGTCATTTGATTGAATGGTTACCATGAATAGTGTAAAAAAATAAAAATGATAGTACTTTTTCATTTATGTAATATTTAGATCTCTTTTTGTTAGACTTATGTTTATATGAACATGTGATTTAGGCATGCATAATAAAAAGTATAAGATGCTCATTTCATATCTTGTGCATTTTTATGTTTTATATTATTTATTCATTAGTATATAAAAAAATTATCATTTTATCTTTACGCGATCTTTTGATTTTGAGGCTTACGCCTCGCCTCACGAACGAAAAACGCCTAAATACCCGATTACACAATTTTAAACATTGATTGGAATGATTATGATAGTGTTTGTCATCGATTTTAAATGATATAAGTTCTTGTAATTGGGAAAGTGATTATACTAACTATATAGAATAAATTATGTGGCAAAAGTTGAAAGAATATTTTGCCGTGAGAGCTTTCTTCAAGAGTGGTTTGATGTTTGTTTGTTCGGTCTTCTTTGAGGTGAGGAGATTATGGACCAAGAAGTTCATCATACATATTGGTATTGATGTCAGAAGTCAAAGTTGATGCATAAGAAGTGCATCGGCCTTATAGGTAATAGCATGTGTTGACATCATTGGTAATAGGAATTGTTAGGTGACATTGGTCAAGATACTGTGGGTTGGTGGACTTAGTCGAGAAATAGTGGTCAAAGGATCACAGTTAGGTGATGGAGGTCAGAGAATCGTAGTCTAGTGATAGTGGTCAAACGAGCCATAATCGAGTGATGGAGGCTGAATGAATATAGTCATGGGATGAAGGTCAGAGGATCTTAATGGATGACGAAGATCAAAAGAACCATAGTGAGGCGATGTTAGTTAGAATGATCATAGTCGGTGATGGTAATTTGATAATTGTGGTTGAAGGATCATGTTCATATGATGTTGGTTGGAGAATTATAGTGGGACGATGGTGGTTGGAGGATCATACTCGGGCTACAATAGTTGAAAGAAGATAGTTGAGCAATAGTAGTTGGAAGGATCATGGTCGAACAATGTTAAGTGGGTGGTGGTGTTAGTTATGTGGAATCTAATTGTGCTGATCAATTGAGTTGTTCTGTTAACTCGGATCTATTTTCAAATTATCATGCTCGATGGGGGTTGCGGGGGATTTACCCCTTCTTGGGTTCAGGTGCACCGACGATGTGTTCCCGAGCGCCCTAGCACTATGTTCCCAAATGCCCTAGTGTTGATCAGCAGAGAGCAGGGTGTTGTAGCGCTCTAGATTTGGCGTCGTCGTGCGTGACATCGCGGCGCTGCGGTTTTGAGCACCGCAACATTATGATGACAGAGTCTTAAGCATCGTAGCGCTCCAAATTGGTGTCATAGTGCTGTGAGGCAAACTTGACAGATTTCTTTCTCGTTTTTCTGAAAGGTTGCTTCTATTGGTGTTATTAACTTGACTTTATCTTGTTTTTTTAGTGTGAGAACGGTTTAAGAGAAGAGATATTTGTACTTATTTCTCCCCTTTTTCATAGTAGATTCATTGGTGGGGTGTGACTTCGTAGTTTTTACCCAATTTTACGTTTTTTCATGTTAAATCATGGTGTCCTTTTACTTTTCGATGTTTTTCTATTTTCTTGTTTGTTTAGTTGTGGTTGTTTACTTCCATACCCAACAGGTGATTCGATGACAACAATTGGGCAATGTTCCAATGGTTTAATCCGGTGGTGTTGTGACTGTGTTGGATGGGCAATGGTCTGATGACAGTTGTTGGGCGGCGCTCCAACGATGGAAGTCAGGCAGTGGTCTGACAATGAGTCGGACGATGACAATTCAACGACAATAGTTCGGAAACAACGATCAGGTGGTGTATGGTCGAGGTTAGGTTGTGCTATGATGATAACAGTAGGATGGTGATTCGATGTTGGTACTTGGGTGGAGCTTCGTAATTCTTAGAGCCTTTGAGCTCTCCTGAATGTCAAGCAAATGTCCTCTCTCCATTTCATGTGAAGTGTGAGGGCTTTTTTATAAATTTTTAAGAGTGGTATGCCTTATAAATATAGCAAAAATCTAGAACACTCTATTAGACAATTTATATTATATCTCTCTTTCATAAATTGTTCTTTTAGTATTTATGTGCTTTAATTAAGTTGGAATTAAGCAATATTGGGCTTGTTAGATTCATCTCGTCGAGAAAAAAATTTAACTATAAGCATGCTAGATTTGAAAATAATTTGATATCTCAGTTAATGTTTCAGAGTTTTTAATTATATTTCAAATGCTTTATTTGGACTCATTTGGACTCAAATCAAATCATTTTTAATATGATGGGTTACTCTCATCGAGATGTTTTGTTTGGCTATAAATTTTCTGAAATTAGGGTTTGATTAGTGCTGAATTTAATTATGAAAATTTGTAATTTGAATGACCCATCAAACTTATTATTTATGGCTACTGCAGCGCATAGTCATTATTGTTTCTAGAAAGAACTTTAATTGTTGCTAATTACTTAGAAAGTTTGTTTTATACTTAGCAGATTCGAATGCATACATCTCGTTTTTATCATTCCGCTCTCGTAGGGCTGCAAGCGAACCAAACATTCGACGAGCTACTCGTTGTTCGGTTCGATTAAAGCTCATTTGTGATCGTTTGATTAACTAAACAAACAAACTTGAACAATATTTTAAGTACTCGATTCTTAAATAAACCAAACTTGAATACTAATGCGTTCGACTCATGTATGTTCACGAATAACATCATTTGAAGTTCGTGAACAAACTCGACATTAAGCTTGATTCTAACATTGATTCGTGTTCGATTTTGAACTCGTGAATAAGCTCGATAAAAATAATTAATATTTGATTATAGAATTAATAAATATAAATATTTTGTATTTATTATAATACAATGATATAATTATTGTTAAATAATATAATTTAAAGTAAATGAATATTATAAATGTGTTTGTTCATATATATGTTAATGAACATATCTGTTTGATAGTTAAAAAAAATTCGTTAAATATGTTCGTGAACATGCTCGATGTAATCGTTTGTTAGGATGCTCGATAAAGCTCGTTTGTTAAGTTAATGAACATCTAAAAGTATAGTTCGTTCATGTTTGCTTGTTTAAAGCTCGATTAACACTAAATGAACGAACATAAACTGAACATGAACTGAACATGAACACTCATTAATTTAAATGAATCAAATATGAACACAAATAATAAAGCTCGAACAAACATGAACCAAACTTGAACAAGCTGATATTAAATGAATACAAACATGAACACTCAAATACTCGGCTCGGCTCGGTTCGTTTGCAGCCCTGCCCTCTCTCTCAATTAAATATTAAAGCTATGACCATTCAAAAGCTTCATTAAAAAACTGTTAAATTTGATTGTATAACTAAAGGTTTTTAAATCATCAAATAAATGCATGAAATCTGTCAAGCAAAAGTTTCCAAGTGCTCAAATTAGTTGGAATGAACTTAATTATTATTTTGCTAATATTTAAAATGTGCATCATGGTTTTTAATTAGCAAAGTGTATGAATAGAATACTGAAGATTTTTTAATTGAAAAATATTAATGTTGCGAGTTTAATGGGCAACTGAGCTGAGCTAGATGGACATACCTGTAAATAACCTTTAAACTTTTTTTTGGGATATTTAGGCCAATTAAGGTTAGCTTACACATATCACATAAGCAAGATTCGAACATAATATATCTTAATTTAGTTAGAGCTCCCAATCAATAGACCAAAATTATTTTGTGCGGGGCTTGAACGCGTCCGAAGGCTAATCCGTGAGTGCATTGGGTGACGTGACGCGTTTGGATTAGCCTCTAGACATGTCCGGACACTGCACGTAATAATTTTTCTTGAATTTGGGCTTATTAGCTGATCTTCTATTCTTTCCCCCAACTATTGCTGCTATTAATAATCCAACCTTAAAGGTTGCTCATCAATAATCCATATAATTCATTTCATGCATTTAGCAAATACTAATTAATCTATTTATTTTCATGCAATTAAAATTGACATTAATGTTATATATAACAATCGCATGAATTGAAAGGACATTTTATATGATGATTATTAATAAATACAAAATACAAAATAGACATAGAGATAAAAAAATAAATAATATTTTAATTATTTATATTTGATATATCATCAAAAAGTTATCTTGACTGGGCACAAATCTTGATGCAAAATCAAGTTAGAAACTTCAAAAATTAAATTGGAGATCATCTAAACTCTAATTTCAACAAACTTACAGTCAAACTGGTCTCAAAGATACGAACCCAATGACACCAAATTTGACTCAATCCGAGTCCAAATGAGTCCAAAAAAAAGACTTGAAGCATATTTGAAAGGTTCAAATCATAATTTTGATTACCAAACAGTTTCCAACCGTGAAATGCTTATAGTCAAATCGAGCGGATCGACTATATATCATTAAGACATTCAAATACCAAATAAATGGTTCATGATCAAGGGAATCCACATCAGCCGTCCATTCAAACCACTCCCAAATTGCTCATAATCTTCTCCTTATTTACTGGTCATGTCACTCTCATAAAATTATAAGTAGACCCCTCATTTTTTATGAGAGGAGGGAGGAGGAATGGAGCCCAAGCAAGAAGAGAAGGAAGAGATCTTTTGCCGTCAGACTCCTCGACCACCTCCCGACCACTGACCGACGCTTGACTTGCGCCCGTCACCAGATTTCTACCAGACGCCAGACTTCCGCCCATCACCAGACTTCTACCTGACGTCGGACTTCCGCTTGTCGCTGAATTTCTATCTGACACCGGACTTTTATCTGTAGTCAGACTTTTAACAGAAATCTACTCAACGCCGAACTTCTACCCATTGCCGAACTTTCGTTGGACTTTTTCCCGACGCTAAATTTCCACCTGTCATTGAACTTCTATCCTTCACTGGACTTCCGCCCATCAACGGTCCTTCCGACCTCCTCCACCAAACAATAGTCTTTCTGGTTACTATCGCCCGTCAACTACAGTCCTTTCGGCCTCTGTTGCCCGCCGAATACTATCCTTCCGACCTCTGTCCTCGGACAACGGTCTTTATGACTTCTGTCACTAGACAACGATCTTTATGACTTCCGCCGCCCACCGACTACGATCTTTTTGACCTCCGTCGGTTGCCAATTACGGTCCTTCCGACCTCTGTCGTTAGACATCAGTCCTTCTAACCTCCGTCGCCCAACGACTACGGTCCTTTTGACCTCTATCACGCGACACGGGTCCTTCTGACCTCCGTCACCTACCGATTACGGTCCTTCTGACTTTCGTCGTCAGACAACAGTCATTCTATCCTCCGTCGCCCGCCTACTACGATCCTTCCGACCTCATTCGTCAGATAATGTTCTTTCTAACATTAGTCGTCTACCGACTATGATCCATCCGACCAAACAAACACATCAATAATTATTCTTCATGTTTCCACCGTGTAGCACAATCAATGCGCCCCAGAAAATAAAATAAAATAAAAAATCCGCTCACAGAAAATAAAATAAAATAAAAAATCTTTTATCCACTTTGTTTTCTGTCGGAATTCGTCGCAACTGCCCATTGCCTACTAAACAAGCTGTAAAAGAAATGTCAAGCTAACCTTATACTTTATAACAAATTAAAAATCAGTCATTTCGCTTTGTCAAAAGGAAAAAAAACAAAACAATCAGAATTTTCTTCTTCCAATCTTTCATACACCAACTTTCTCTCTCTATCTCTAATCTGTACATCTCTGTCTACCCAACTCTATAACTCACCATGGTCGCCGGTGGCATCACCGTCGCCTTCGAAATCCACCACCGACTCGGCGATCGTCATCTGATCTTCGAGATATCGATGTAGCAGTTCGCTTCTAATCGCATCTCGCCTCCCTCTTTTCACACACGGAATCACCTCTTCGGCGCCGTCTCGGCGCCGCCTCCGGCAGCCCTGAGCTTCTGCGGCCGTGAATCTGAGACAAAAAGCGGCGATACAGAGGAGTGGGAAGGAGAGGCAGAAAAGAGGAAGGAGAACAGGTGAGAAGCAGACAAGAGCCATCGCCACCCATCCTCGCTTCCGCCGCCACCGCCACCGCCCTTTTCCTCGATCGCCAGCTCCGATCATCTCTATTTCTGCTTCTCTCTCCTCCCCCCAACTCTTCCTCTTCTCCTTCTTTCAGCTTCTACGCCACTGCTTTCCCCAAGTCAGAAGTTATTTAAACAGAGATAAAAAAAAATTATTAAAAATCTATATGTTTTTAGTTTTGATATTGTTTTTATTTTAAATATTTTTCTTCTTAAATTTTTACATAAATTACATCAAAATATTTAATATGCCGCACACGCGGCCTTTCCTTTGGTCGCCACGTGGCTAAATTCTTTACTCCGTTATTAATGCCACAACCACTATTTTTGTTGAATTCATTTATTTTTATTATTTTTTAAAACTAACAAAGCGTACAATTCTGTACATATCAATTTCTGGAATTTTTTATTGTAATATGCCGCACACGCGGCCTTTGCTTTGGTCGCCACGTGGCTAAATTCTTTACTCCGTTATTAATGCCACAACCACTCTTTTTGTTGAATTCATTTATTTTTATTATTTTTTAAAACTAACAAAGCGTACAATTCTGTACATATCAATTTCTGGAATTTTTTATTGGGTGTGGAGTGCGGACGTAGCTCTGTGTGTGCAACCCTATAGCTGGCCGTCACGTGGTGCCCACCTTGACCCCACCGATCTCTTAAGCACATGTATTTTTTTTAACTCGCGGCCCGACGACCCGAACTGCGTGAATAATTGAAAAAAAAGTGCGGTAATACCTATTGGTTATATTTGATGGCGCGGGTTATTTACCTCAGTTAAAACTTTTTTCTCCTAACTTGAAAGCTCAGAAAGCAGGATAAGAGAGGAAGCTATGAAGATGGATACCGTTC